GAAAAAATATTTAATTTCAATGATAATTTTCAAATCAAAATGACAACTGATGGAAGCCGTCGTGCGCCGCAATTCTGTTTACTCTGACGGATTTCAATGATATATGCCATGACGTGTATCGCTACTTCGATTCATTTTTATTTCCTTTCATACTGCAAAAATTTGTATTACTTTTTATATTAGCCTAGGTTCCCGTATTAGTATTCTTCTTCGTGTTCGTGCTCGTCTTCGCATTATCTTCGTCTTCGAATTTGTGCGTAAGTTAGCTAAGACTTCTGAAACAGCTGGCAACTCTCATAAGTACAGTTAAGAAATCAACAATACTCTTGCGTCTGATATTGTGATACCTATATACATATGTACATATTTCATGTGACAAGTAAAATTTGAATTTTTAAATACATACGATTCAACGTTCCTAAATACAGTTGAGAAATAAAGCCGTTTAAAACGCATATTTAGGATAATTGCTTTAACTTTTTAAATAGGTGGCAACCCTCTTTAATATTCTGAATATTCAAACTAAGGATATCTTACCACCTTCGTTTCACGCCACAGTTTATTATTTCACTTAACTTATGCATACTTCAATTAAATTCTAATTTCAAAACAGGTGGTAATCCCATTAAAAGTATTTTAAAACCAAAACCTTGTGACGAATATTTTAATCGTGTACCTAATGTCTTAATTCAAGTTAAATTTAGTTCCTAAAACTATGGCAATACTTACACACACATACATTTTGTCTCCTTCTCTCACTTTCAGCGCATACATGTGTTTACAGAATGATGACGAAGTGATTTTGTATGGAAAATCATGTACCTATGCGCTTATATTTGAATAAAATAAAGATATTTAGAAGATATCAACCAACACTACCCTCTTCCAACGAAAGGAAAAATTTTAACTTTTGATTAGAGAAAACAAAAACAAAATCATTCGAGCGTTTTTCGAACATATTGGAAATAAATAAGAATAGCTAATTTTTTCAACAATTTTTTGCTTGATGAATTTATATAAAATTTTTAGACGATAATATTTCTATTGCCCCAAAAAATTTATATACCGAAAATGAAAGTTATATCTGCAAATCATAAGGCTCAAAATTTACTCCAAAATAAGGCAATATTTACCGTTTTTTCTACGCCAGAAACCAAATTAGTTACTTATCAAAATAAATCTATCGGTAGGGTTGGAGTTTTATCTCTGTAACGCCACTTTTTTCTTTGAAATCGCTTCATAAGTTCTCGTGCAATAAGCGTTTTCGTGAAGCTCTAAAAATTACAACTACAACATTTGAGCGTAGCCTCATATAAAAATAGACAATAATATTTCTCATAAAAACGAATAAAATTAGGGGTTAGGATCTTGAAATTTCCAAAAAACCTTTTCGATGGGCACCCTAATATGTACATACATAAATAGTTGTTAGTTTACGTCTTCTCGATATAAAAGAATTGACATCTAGCTTTCCCTCCGTTATTTGAAGGAATACTTTTGGATATTAGTTTTCGAGAAACGACGACTGATCGCGATGAGTTTTCCCGCAAATGTGATACACTAAAATATTGTCGTTTAAAGTACAAAACGGCATGTTATGGTTCTGCAAAACCGCGTAACTAACATTTGTGTCAAAAAATATATTAGCTCACCGGAAGCTCCTGGCAACAAGCCCTTATCCATTCATACTAAAGTATCGATACTTAGATATAAGAAGAAGAGATAATTAGAGATAAAAGAGAGAACTGTCTTGAAATAGGACAAGATTTACCCTATTAAATGTATGCAGCCTCACATTTGCATTTCTTGATACGCGGTTAAGTAGGTACTATAAACGATGTAGATGGGTTGAAAAATATAGCCAATAGTTAAGGCGTTTTGTCGAATATTTTAACAATTGGAGCAAAGTTATCTTAATATCTGTTTTTGGCGTCTGCTTCTAACGCCATCAAACCCAATAACATGATTTATATATTTCGATGTGGTCTTGGACATTGTAAATATGAAGAAAAGATGAGGATGCCGATAAAAGATAAAGATAGAGGAAGAAAGATTAAGAGAAAGGTAATTTTAGATAGAGACACAAAGACTCACCACACCATATAATAGCCGATATTTTTATCGATATAATAATCGATATAAATGTTATAATAATCGATCTTGTTATCGATACATATGTATGTATATATATCGATTGCTCAGTCGTTTTATTCATAGAAATGTCGATCGATAAATTTATTGCAATCGTTATATTTGTAAATATATTTGTCGATAGTGCTATCGGTATAACATGAGACCAGATGACTTGACATTATATTACATGCCATCATATGGCATGACAGGGAGAGCCACGAAATTCCCGAAAACAAAATCCCCCGCTTCAAAAAAATCCCCAAATATATTATCCCCAAACACGATATCTCCAAACTTCCAAACTATTTTGGTGACAGTGACACAAAATCCTCAAACTTTTGAATAAATGATATTACCGATCATATATAGCGCAAGCCGAGTTTTACCTTTGTTCTGATTCGTAGTTACATACACCCGATTCATGATTCAATTAATAAGTCACCCTTTTTGCTTTATTTTCTGTCATTCGGCTATCTTAAGCAGGGGTCACACGATTTGCAAAATNTTGCGTTTTATTTTTGGCTATGGCAATTCAAAGGCAGATGTCGCTGATCGCCTGAGTTCTACGAAATTGTCGAACTGGTACNGTTTTTTTTTTATTAAGCTGAACTCATTCTCGATACGAATTTCTAGACAATACCACTCTGTGGCTGTGATCCCTACTTTATACAAAATTTTGAAGGCAAATTTTCAAATAATAAATGTAAATCCTTCTCGCTCTTACTACTTTATCTGGTATACTTTCACCATGACTTGAACCGTGTAAAACCCGTCATATATACAGAGTTTCAATTTATGGCAATATTTATATATGTACATATGTATACATATGTATATTTGTGTATATACATACATTGCACATACCGTTATGTTATCAAAAAATTTGTCGCATAACATTTCCTCATACGCTTTATCACGGTGCGTGGATTTGCCTGTAACTATAATTGTAATAAAAAGTATTGTTATGAAGTACATAAATTTTGTGCGAAATATTATCCTGCAGGGAAAGCTACTAGTTGTGAACTAGAATTCTACCAGTTCGCGTTTCAGCCCAACTAGTTCACGTTCTATCCTTTTTCAATGTTAGCGACTGGTATTTTTAACATTGCGATGTCCTACGAGATGTCAATTGTCAGGCTATGCATCAGCATCTACTAGTATAAATAGTAGTAGCATCATACCAGTTGATGAGATAGTCTGCCAATTCATGCCCCGTGAAAAGCATAAGTGTGCCTTTTTGCTCGCGACGCTCCAGCAGTCACAATGGCCGACAGAGCAAAGCACTCGCGTGGTAAGCCTGAGGTCCCAGGTTCAAATCCTGGCACAGGGAAAATTTTTTTATTTTCTATTTTTTATTTTATTTATATTTTTTATAAATTTATTTTTTTGTTTTATTGTAATTCCTAAATTTAATAAAAAAAATATTTGTGTTTAATTTCATCGGCGCATATTCATAGTCATATTTAGTACTCAACTAAGTCGAAACTATTCTAAGTCACAACTAAAGCTATTCGCCTTAGTTTCGACTTTTCTCGCTAAGTACTAACTTAAAATTTAGTTTCGGCTGCAGCTGCAACTAAGTCGTAACTAGGGAGAAGTATTTTATCAAATTAAGGGAAAACAGACGAAATATATAAAAATTAAGTTGGTAGAGGGTGATTTTGATAATATTGAATAATTAAAATTTACAAATATCGATCCATTTTAATCGGAAGATGAAATTNATACTTTATTCTTTTGCATAATCATGCAATGAAAATAAAAATTACATAAACGGATGATCAAACTTGACATTATTTAATAAAAATGTACTTTTTCCAAAATATCGTAAAGAAAAATCGATACGTTTTCACACTCGTTTTGCTATATCGTAAACTAAGTCAAAACTACTTAGTAGAAGTCTGAAATGCGACTATGAATAGAGGTATATTTTTTAAGTTGGTACTTAAATTTAAGTTGCAACTTTGTTAGTTTCGACTTAGTTGCTGGACTATGAATACGCGCCTTTGTTTTTATAGCACAACCATTTCTTCCTAAATGTTTTTTGCAATGCAATTAAATTTTCAAATTTGTTATTTATTTATAAATTGAATAAATTATTTTTACTTACATTTATTACATTTATTTAACTTTAAAAATCTTAACCACCTCCAAGCGGCCTCGAACCTGCGATTTCAGAACCAGAACCAGTAGTCTTCACGTGACGCCACAGCCGACATTTGTAAGAAAAGCAATTAATTGCGTTTTATTTTTGGCTATGGCAATTCAAAGGCAGATGTCGCTGATCGCCTGAGTTCTCCGAAATTGTCGAACTGGTACGCACACACTAGTTAATGAACTAGTATTTTTTCTAACTGGTTTGGCTTTTCACTGCAGGGTATTTAAATTTTTTATTAAAACGGAAGTAGTCATTATAAAATCTTACAAAGTCAATGATAAAGTATATTTGGATGGATTTGATTACCATTTTCATTCCAAAAATAAAAAACAAGAGTTTCGTTGGTCTTGTGCGCATAGGAAAGCACTGAGGTGAAAATGTGTCGTGATTACAAAAACAGACAGTGGCGGACATGTAGTTCAACGGGCTCCTGCCGCGCACAATCACGATCCAAGAGCCCATCATGTAGTTGTAGCATACCGTCCCATTTCTGCCTTAACCACGTATATACAATTTTTGGGAATACTAATATTACCACTTATAACAGCTGCTTAAGTGTCACACTATTTGAAAATAGAACAAAGACTTAATTAAGGTGCTCACTACTGTTAGTGGAACCAGAAATATTAAGTAAAAAATGCGTTTATTTTATTCTAGGGGAAGAAATTAAGCATTTTTTCTTACACTCTCTAAATTGCTTCTATTGCAGATACGAGGTTGAGGCAGAAACGGGACGATATGCCAATATTAAAGTGAAAGATATGAGCAGCTCAACTTCACTGGAACCCTCGCAAATAATTAGAGAAGCAATTGTAGACTGCCAACCAGACCGCCGCGTGTACCTGCCGTCGAAACGAGCACAAAAAATAAAAATTAGGCGTAATCGAAAAGCAATGGATACTGCCAGTGATCCGCGTAATTTACAAGAAATACATATACCAGAGCAATTAAAATACTTGAAAGGTGAGCTTTTAATTTTGAGTGACTGGTATCATAACGGTGAAAAATATATCATCATGGGCACGTCGAATTCACTGAAAGAATTAGGGAGATCACAGTGTTGGGTGATGGATGGTACGTTTTACGTAGCACAAAACATTAATTTAAATCCACAAAGAGTAATTACGGATTTTGAGCAAACCATCTCGTCTGTGGCAAAAGAGTTTTTTCCCGATGCCCAGTATAAAGGATGTTTAATCCATTTCGGCCAGATCTTTTGGAGACGAGCTCAAAAAGAAAGACTTGCTCGAAAATACGGCAATGATGAAGGTTTCAGCATGGCAATACGTATGCTGAAAAGCTTATCATTGGCTCCTCCCGAAAGTGTGTTAGATTATTATAACGCACTGAATGCCAGCTCGACAGATAACGATTTTAAGAAAGTTTGTGTTTGGTAAAAAAAAAAATTATATTACCGGAAGTACAAAGTCGGACAGACCTAAATATAACACAAAATTTTGGTGTGTTTCAGATTCATTTAAAGACAAATTTCCGCGCACTCAAAACTGTATTGAGGCTTGGCACTTGGCATGTGGTGTATATGAAATTATAAAACATTTAAGGAAAGAGATAATTGAAGTACAAACAAACATTGAAAAGATACAATCAGGCACAGGTATACCCAAAAATAAAAAAAATGTTGAGTGTGTCAAGAACATTAAGAAAGTTGTTGAACATTGTGCGGATTAAGATAAAATAACTTATTTGAGATCTATATCCCACAATATTTAACTTTGCCATTAAATTTATGTTTGTCCTTTCATCTTTTGCTTTAAACTAATTTGGTAAAGATATATGAACTTATGTGATGTAATTTATTTTCTTTAATTTAGATTTACCTAAATGTTGGTATATCGTCGTTTAAAGTACAAAACCGCGTATCGTCATTCTGCAAAACCGCGTAACTAACATTTTGCACACCGTCTTCAAAAGGGTCACAACTCAAAATAATGCATTCGTCAGAAAATGCGAAAAACTATTTCGTAGCACATGCTAATCATATGGGCAAGGGCGACTTTACCTTAGGTTTTTTTTAGCAAATTATAACAAAAATTTTCAGCAGATTTTGCTGAAAGGTCAATAAAAGCTCTGTGTACATTTTTAGCGTATAATTTCAAAAATGCAAAGTTTTGAGTTGTGACTCTTTTGAAGAAGGTGGGCGATTTGCTGCCAAAAACTGGCAGCGGTTTTGCAGAATGACGATACGCGATTTTGTACTTTAAACGGCGGTATGTATGTATGATACATAAATATTTGTGAAATAATAAAATTTATTTTGAGTAGGTACTAATTTGAAAAATAATGAATTTTGTATTTATTTAAGCTCATGTAAAATATATAAATAAGTTATTGTGACGTATTGCATTTTCTTCAATTTTCATATCTATACATATAATAAAATTGTAACAGGTCGATGTCTGTACATTATAGATATTAAAGAAAAATTAATGGGGGGGATCTTTATTAGAGCACCAGAGGCCAAATCAACCATTTTTAGAATTTTTGTCTGTCTGTCTGTCTGTATGTTTGTTCGCGCATCACTCGAAAACTAATGCATGGATTTGAATGCAGTTTTCACCGACGTATTGCTAGAGGTCTAACTTAAAATATAGGAGGAAAAAATAGAGAGTTGCCACCTGTTTGAAAATTGGAGTTTAAGTAAATTGATAAGAAAAAATGAATATTGCAATATGGGCGTCAAAAGAAAGAGGCTGAAGAAGACTTACAGCCAAAAATATTGTTTTAGAGATGCCACCTGTTTGAAAAATGTTATTGTATTAAATTGATAAAATAAATGAAATCTATATCTACATCTATACATATAATAAAATTGTAACAGGTCGATGTCTGTACCTTATACATATTTAAGAAAAATTAATATGGTGGGTTTTTATTAAAGCTACAGAAGCCAAATAAAAAATTTTTTGAATTTTTGAATCACTGTCTGTCTGTATATTTGTACGCGCATCAGTAGAACATGGAATTTAATGCAGTTTTCACCGATGTATTTATGTATACGGTAAAGTGAATACTGCAATATGGCTGTCAAAAGAAAGAAATTTACAAAGGCTTACAGCTGAA